AGAAGACATTAACCAATGTCTTCTAACATCTTCTCCTTTTTTCTACTTCTCTTCACCACCACAACCGTCCACCGCCATCGTCCACCACTACCACCATCCACCATCACCGTCACCGTCCATCACCATCGTCGTCCACCACCACCGCCACCATCCACCGCCACCACCACCATCACCGTCCACCACCACCGCCGTCAACGTCCACCACCACCACAATCGTCCATACACCACCACCGTACACTACCACCATTAATTTATATAGCAGTCTACAGATATTAAAAAACAAATAGTCTTCTTCTTGCAGACCGCAGACCTTCGGTCCACCACTTCTCCTGCAGATGTCTACAGTAGTGGTCCGCAGACCGCAGACCTTTTCCTGCAGAAAAAACAAACACCCCCTTAATATCAGTCTCGCAGATATTACAGATATTTGATACTGTTCCATGTCTAAAGCGTTTGTAAGACTATGATTAAACCTTGAGGTTCAAATGCGGGTGCAAATTATATTTTTCAGTCGGCTATACTTATCTTGGGTTAAGCCACCCGGTGGGCGGGCTCAGTGGCGGATATACATTAGAGTAGTTGGGGTCTCATGCCCCCTACTAGTTGTTTAAAGTAAAATAAAATTTACACTTATATAATTTATGACCCCAATTAAAAATATTATGGACCCCAACTAAAAGTGTTAAATAAGAAAAAATGAGAAATGTGAAAAGTTTAAGTATTAAAAGAATATACTCATAGAGTAAAATATTAAAAAATGTCAAATATAAAATCTAAAATGAAAGATTAAAATTATATTACTATTAAACTATGTAATAATGTAGTCCATAAACTATATTTTGTTAGACTTTTTTCAAATACTACTTAAATAATTATGAGAAATTAAATTTATTTTTTATTGTTTTAAATCTTTATATATAAAAGAGGAGAGTTAACCTCCTAGAAATTTGACATGTAGAATATCTACTAGGCTATTTTTTACATGTCATCTTCCATCACATTTATGACTCTTTAAAATATTGACATGTGGCAATATTTATGTGGCACTATTTTTTGACAAATTATCATTTATTTATGTAAGACAATCAAAAAAACCAAAAAAATAATTTGTTAGAAATTTATGAAAGGCAATCAATTAAAAGTTAAGTAAATATATAATATACTTAAATAAATATTTAACATTCACTCAAAAACAATTCAACGTGGGATTAACAATTTAATATACTACAAATAATTCTTGACATGAGATTAAATTAAAATTTTAATTTTTATTCAAAATAAAATTATTAATATTTTAATAAATATTTTTTATCTAAAAATGAGACTCATATAGAAAGTTGATATGTGTATTTATTATGAGGTTTATTTCACTTAATTTCAGAAAAGAAAATATGATATAAATATTTTAGGATGACATTTTTTGAATAGATTTAAATATGAAATTTAGATTTTTTTTTATAATAATATTCTTTTCTAATTCAATATTTTTCTCTTTATGTGTGACAAAACTTTCAATTAATAAACAAGTAACTCTTTTCACCTTTAAAAAAAATTATACTAGTATTTGTTTAGGATATGCCTTAAAAAATTAATTTTGAATCTATTTGTTTAAATAATGATATAAAATTAAAAAAACTGAATATATTTTCAAAACTATATTTAAAAAAATTAAAAAAAATAGATGATTGGGTTATACTAATCTTCAACTAGAAAATATACTACACAAAATTTGGTAATTTAAATATATTAAATTATCTACAAAAAGAGAACCCAAACTCCTTAATTTAAATATATTATGTTTTAGACCATTTATGATCTAAATTTAAAAATATATTATTTTTAATTATCTATTAGCAAATGATACTTAAATTAAAATATAGAATATAGTTAATCAAAGTATGTGTCACCATACCATACTATGTTTACACAAACATTCTTTATGATTTCAACATCATCGAATAAATTTAAATATGGAACATAGGTCTTCTTTTTAATTAGAATATTCTTTTTAATTTTACATTCTTTTCCATTCCATTTATAATAAAACTTTCAATGAATAAATATGATTTCTTTAGTTGAAAAAGATACTCTCTTTGTCTCCAAATAAATTTTATATTTGTTTATGATATGCTTATTAAATGAAGTTAGTTTTTCCTTTATTGATTTAAACATTGACGTAAAAATATAAACTACTCCTGTATATTTAAATCTCTAAATTAATATTTTATAAAAACAAAATACACCTAGACTATTTTTTTAATGATTAACTATTTAAATCAAATAAATTTAAAAATAATTTTTTCACAGGCTTGAATGATTACTTATTCAAAATTAAAAGAAAAAATAAATAAAATTTACCAAATGTATTTACAATTTTTCATTTAGAATCATAGGATAACTAATATTTTTTATCTAAAAAGTTATTCTTTTTTCGAGGATAGGGCACTACTGGCACCCATGCTTGATGCTGTAGAAATGATAAATGATTTTTTCATATCCCTCATTCTTGGAGATTAAGAATTTTGATTATTCATGCCAGGCAGATTTAGATGTAAGTGTTGATGGAGATTGGATAACAGTTGAGTTTTTGAATGAATTCAAATGTTCGAAGATGTCGAAACACAAAATAGTTTTTAAAAAAGGGTATGAAAATAGTTTGAATAGATGCAAAAGAGTGTTACCAATGCTTTAATGGTCTTAGGAAATAGAGTAAGAGAAAAAGTTTACATATATATACCTCGAATTAGTTTGGTACCATCGGATCCAGGAGTACAGCTGAAGTTCTAGAGAGAACAATTTTCAATAGTTTTATGTTTTGCAATGACTATCAACAAAGCTAAAGGCCAACATTGTAATTTGTTGGATTATTTTAAATCAATTCATTCTTCATTAATGGTCAATTTTATGTTTCTGTTTAAAGACTGAAGACAAAGACAAGATTAAAAATATTGGTTCTAGATGACAATAGAAATCCTAACAATCATATCTTAAAATCTGTCACAAAATTTGGTATTAAAAAACACTTTGTTGACATTCAATTCTTCAAATATTATTTATTTGACTTTGGAATTTTCGTCTAGAGTATTAAAAATCATGTAAGAAATACTCTCTCCGTTCCACAAAACTCTTCCTCTTTCGTTTTTTTTGCTTTCCACAAAACACTTCAACTTTCTATTAAAAACCACTTTTACCCCTACTTTTTCATACCCTGCCTATCACATCATACTTTTTCACTAATAACCAAACTATCACATCTTACTTTTTCCCATCACATCAGGGGCAAAATTGGAAAGTCAACCAAAATTACACTTTCCTTATTTTTCCCCAAAGTCAAAACCGGAAGGGTTTTGTGGAACGGAGGGAGTATATTTTTTTATTTCAAAAAAAATATTACATTGAAAAAATTCTAGAATCGACAAAAATTTTATTCGATCCCGTGCGTCGCACGGTTAGAATGCTAGTTGCACATATATAAAAAATCTCCCGGGGCACTGCCTTGATCCTCGTGTTATGTTGGTAATTGCGCCCCCAACAACTCAGATTCCTGGATCCGCCACTACCTGGAGCAGATGGAGCAGCAAAGAACGCAAGGAGCGATGGTGGCTAAAACGATGGAGAAGCGAAGATCTACAAGACTAGCGAATGTGATGGTGGTTAAAATGCTGGCATTACAGATCGGGAAGTCCCCAATGTCCAAACCCTACGTCCGACTATGAAGACTTTGCATATGTGTGTTACAGATTGGGTTGCAAATTTATGAGGCTTAACTAAAATGAACAGTTTAAGTTAGTTGAGAATTACACAACTTTATTTGAAAATGAGTACTGTTTTGTTTCAGAGTGAACACTACATTATTCGTAGATGAATATTATAATTTTACTTCCTCCGTTCTAAAAAAGAGCTCCTATTTTGACCCAGCGTAAAAACAAGAAAGTGTTAAATTCTAGTTGACTTCTAATTTTACCTTTGATGTGATGGTAAAAGTAAGATGTGATAGATAGATTATTACTCCCTCCGTCCCTAAATAAATTACATTGTGGATTACGAAGAAAAATTTCCTACTTTTGAAATTATTTTATTTACAAATTGGTATATCAATAAGATATAAAAATTACATATTAAAAAACCACGTCAAAAGTTCTACAAAATAAGAGAAGAGTCAAATCATTATTTTTTCCCCAAATTACCCTCCAAATAGTATAGGAATGAGTGGGTGGGTGAGATTTGACATTGAAATGATAAAGGGGGAGGGTAAAAGAGTCTATTTAGTGTAAAACTAAACACTTTGTAATCCTTTTTGGGACAAAAATAATAGGGAATATTGTAATCTAATTGGGGACGGAAGGAGTATACCTTCTCAAATATTGGGGTCAATCAAGCATAACTTTTACTCCCTCCGTCCCGAAATAGATTACAATATTCTCTCACATTTTTGTCCCAAGAAGAATTACAAAGTAATAACTTTACAAAGAATTGACTCTTTTACCCTCTCACTCTTACACTATTCACATACTATTCATCCATGTGAGTGGGCCACTTGGGGGTAATTTGGGAAAAAAAATTGATTTGATTCTTCCTTAATTTTAACAAAAAGGAAATATTGTAATCTAAAGTGGGACAGAGGAGTAAAAAAATTAGTGGTGAAATTTAGGTAGATAGGTTTGGTTAGGTTTGGGCGTGGTCATTTCTGGGTCGGAACCNGGGGTCGGGTCAGGGCATGGCGTTTGCTGCCCAGCTTTTAATGACCCTGTTTGTCCTTTTTCGCATAACTCCCTATTCCTCTTTTCATTTCACTATACTTCTCTCCTCCCCTATATTTATCTTCTTTCTCTCATCTCCACTCTTCACACTTTCTCATTTCTATCTTCTTCTCCCCTCTATCTCCATTCTTCTTCTTTTTTTTCCCTTTAAGTTTCTCTCTCCTCTCACAACAAGAAAAAGATCCATGAAAGCTTAGCTTTGTACTCATGATAAATATTGAGGGGAACGTTGTCTGGCTCGAGGCCACCAACAATATATATAAAACCTTAAATAGTCCTAACTCTCTTAACAGAATTCCTTCGGATTATGGGTTTCGGTCATAGATCGTTTGTTGGTGTCGTCGGACCAGGCTTCATTCCCCCCAATTTTCGTACCCCTTTCAATGGATCTTGCTGATGAGCTTGGGGATTTCAGATTTGTTTAATTTGCCCCAAAAGAAAATTGTTTTCTTGTTTTGACTTATTAGCAGCTAATTCAGTGATTTAATTTAGACTCTCTTCAACTCTTTGCTTTATTTTTGTTGTCAGGTAAAAAGTAAAAGAAAAAAAAAACGGAGTATGAAGAAGCTAAGGCGGTGTGGACACTTGCAGATTGGCGTAATGATGATGGGTTTTGACTTACTTTTGCAGAAAAGGGTAAAAAGTTTCATAATTGCTCTCTTTGTGGTGTAGTCTTCATTTCCAAATCTTTTGTAAATTAGGGTTTCATTTTTCCCTTCACATGTTATGAAAAAAACATCACACCCACATACCTCAGCAAATCTATGAATTGTAACTTCTCCAAATAAATGTATTAGATCAGATTCATCAGATCTGCAGAGAAATATAATCACCATTTCAAATTTCTTTCATGGAAATAAAACCTTGATTTTGACCGGTTAGGCCCGGTTTCTTGCGAGATCTGCAATTTCTGTTTTGGGATATTGTTGCAGAGGTGGGAGATTAGATAAGATCTGGACTGTGCACAAGGTGAAGCATGTATCCACATACACAACAAGTACACGACTTAACATATTTCATCCATTTTCGCTAAATTGTTTATAGTAACTATTGTCAAATTATTTTTATATTTCTTTGCATATTTTGTGCACTCCATAAAATATTTTTATTTTACCTAAAATGTCTAAAATACCTTCAAAACAATTTCTATCTGCGATAAACTACATAACGAGATGTATTTTAGATATTTTAGGTGGAAGTAAAAATATTTTATGGGATGCGTAAAAAATTGGGGTGGAAGTGTTTGCAAAAACGAGAAGAGTACATATAAGTGTTAAATACCTAGTATGTACGGAGCAAATTTTTTACACTGATATTCAAATAAAATGTTTTAAAAGTAAAATCAGTAAAACATAATGCAAAGAAATCAATGGAACGAAGGGCGTACATGTAAATAGTGCTCTTTAAAGCTTCTTTTTCCTTGGACAAAAGTATGATTTTAATGTTTGATACTTCCTCCGTTCCTTAAAAAGTTCTCGTTTTGACTTTTTGAGGATTTTAGGAGAGTGTATTTTGGTGTTGACTTTCCAAAAATGTTCTTTGACGTGATGAATAAAGTAGGATGTGATATATAGATTAATAGAGAAAAAGTGTGATGTAATAGATATGTTAAGAATTAATAGAGCTAAAAGTGAGAAATGTTATAGTAAAAAACAAAATACTCACAAAATTACAAACGTATCATTTGTAAATATAAATTTTTACTTCCTCCGTTCACGAAAATAGTTCCTGTTTTGATTTTGCAGGATTTATTTTGTAATTTGTCTTTCCAATTAAATTATTAGCATCGAAAAGAGAAAAAAGACAAATCAAATAACTTAAAATAACTTATTATATCAATGCAAAATGGATGATGTATATTGCAGTGATTTTATTCAGATATATTAGTTATTTTAAATAAAAAAGGAATTATTTTGGTGAGAGCGAAGTAAATGAAAGAAGAAGAATTTTTACTGAATAGAGTTTTTTAAAATTTAAAATTATTATTTGATGTTAATAAGATCCACCAATAGTAGAGTTATGAATTTTGTGAACCTTCTCTTGACTTATGACTTGAAGCTAGCAAGGGTGCATGTGAACAAAATGATTCTCACTCAGCTCCACAGTACTGTTTGAAGAAGAAATTAAAAGGGTAAAAATGGGATGAGAAGAGGGAAATGTTGATCGGTGACAAGTTGAGATGTAGAAGCAACAACAAAGGGAACCCTATAGCTATGGGCTAAGCTAAGCTATAATCGGAGTAAAAGGAAGGGGGAGGGATATCATTTCTCAATGATGCGTGCATGGATGGGATGAGCTGCTGCTGCGGGTAGCCAGGTCAGGTCAGGTCAGGCCAGGCCAGGCCAGGCCAGCAGTGATCTTTAATTTTGATGCTACTTTTGCAAAGGCCTCTGCTGATGTATTCTATCTATGCACAAAAATAGCGTACTTGGGAAATTGGACTTGTAGTAGCTTTACTTTGTTTCCACACCTATATTCATACTCCCTATTTCTGTTGACTTGTACCGCTCCCTAAATTCATTATTTTCGCAGTTTCACTCTCTTTATTTTTTTTTTATTTCTTAAAATACTGGATGTGATCCATACTTGGGGAATTGGACTTCTAGCTTTAGTGGGGGTATTCTTTTTCTTTTTCTTTTTTTTTTTTTGAAAAAAAGGTTTGATATGTTTTTAATTTCTGTAAAATAGGTTATTTTTTGTTTTTGTCCTAACTATTTTTTTTTTATTTTAGTCCTTGCAAAAACATTTATTTTGTAAATAGTTTTAAACATAACTAATATTTTTAATTAGTTGAGATAAACCTTTTATTTCGTATTCAACATTCTAATCCAGCATTCCTAACTAATTAACTCAGACGCAACTACTCTTCCGATCCGAAGTTGTATCTTTCATCAATTTGTCCTAAAATATAGATTCGATTAAGGTTTTTTGGAGTTTGTAGATACATGTTATCTCGCATCCTTCATGACCCTTGGGATGAACAGAATTCATAGGTGGCAAAGAGTCGCGAAACAAATTTGAGAGTCGTAAAAAGTGAAAATATTTGGGAACGTAACTGGAGTTGTGATTTGATAAATGACACAATTTAAGACATGAATTGACGAGTGTGAAGATTTAAAACATTTATAATGGGGAGGAGGGAGGCGCATCACGCCGCTAGGAGGGGCGGGAGACCATTGCTTTTAGGGATGATAATTCAACCCGAACCCGAGCTTAACCGACCCGACCGACCACTAAAATATCCGAACCCGAACCGAGAATAAAATAATCCGAACCTGACCCGAATTTTTTTACCCGAACCCGACATCGGGTCGGGTGTGGATTTATTATTTTACACGACCCGACCCGAACCCGACCTGACTCAAACCCGAATATTTTATAACATAAAAGCCTATCTATAGATATAATGAGCACTCCATATAATCTCTTGACAAAGTGTTACTATATCAAGTATGCCATTTATAACATTTTTATAATTCCTTAATAAAAAATGAGACACAAAAAAATTAAATTTAATCTTTTTAAAATTATTGGGATACATTGAATTGATTATTGGTTAAAAGTTGGGTTCGGGTCGGGTTCGGGTTGGAATGTCGGGTTCGGGTCGGGTTTTTGGATTAGAGCATTGGGTTTCGGGTCGGGTTTGGGTTTCGGTTTTAAAAGTCGGGTCGAGTTCAGGTCTAGAACTATCCGACCCGAACCCGACCCGTTGCCATCCCTAATTGCTTGTGGGGGGGGGGGGTGTTGAATAAATTAGTTATTTTAATTAATTCTGATTATTTGAATTAGTATTTATTAGTCTTTATTTGAATAAGTCTTTATTTGAATTGGTCTTTATTTGAATTACTCCCTCCGTCCCAGAGTATTTGTCCACTTTCATTTTTACACACCATCCAATGCACTTCTTTAATTCATTTTATCTTGTAATTTGTATATTAAAAAATTATAGAAATTATATATTAATAATCTATATGTTAAGACAAATCAAACAAAATCACACATGACTATATTTAGGTTTAAACATTGAGAGAATTTGATGAGTTAAAGTGCTTAGATGAACAGTTCCAAAAGTCAAAAGTGGACGAATATAGCGGGACGGAGGTAGTAGTATTTACTCTTCAACAATCTCCTACTTTTTAGGTCTGTTGGGGATTAGTGGTATTGTGGTGTTCATGATCCTATTATCTAGGAGATTTTAGACTATATATTCAGCTTGATGTTTACTGATTTTGTATCAAGAAAATCTGAAGCAATAAAAGTTTACCTCTTCCAGTAAAAGACTCGATTGCCTCAATATTATTCAGTATTCAGTCATATTTTATTTCTCCTAAGTTTCAGTTCTTCAAATTGGTATCGGAGCCTAAACGGTCTGTTATCATGAATACCACCCAACTATCTGTCCCAATCCTTGAGAAAGATGGGAGGAATTACAACCGTTGGAGTGTCCAGATGAAAGTTTTGTTCGACTATCATGACCTGTCAGATGTCGTGAATGATGGAATGACTGAATTGGCTGAAAATGCAACTGAGGGGCAACGGACAGCTCATCGTGACCTGAAGAAGAAGGACAAGAAGGCACTATATTTCATTCACCAAGGAATGAACGACGAAACATTTGAGCAGATTGAGGGAGCTATTACCGCGAATGAAGCATGGAGCATTTTGTCAGCATCATACAAAGGTGATGACAAAATTAAGAGAGTGCGCCTTCAAATGTTGAGGCGCCAGTATGAACTGCTGCAAATGGAGGCAACGGAAACTATTGACACTTATATCAATAGGGTCCTTTCGTTGGCAAATCAGATGAAGTCCAATGGAGAGGCTCAAACCGAACAGAAAAGGTAGAGAAGATTTTACGATTTTTGACACCTAGGTTTGAGCATATTGTTGCAGCGATTGAAGAAGGCAATGACACATCAACAATGACAGTGAGGTTATTGTCAAGTTCCTTGCGGGCACATGAACAAAGAATGAATGAAAGTAAGGTTGACAAAGTTGACAAACCAATTGAACAAGCTCTTCAAGCACAAGCTTCAATAGGTGGTTCTGGTCAAAAGAGTGGAAACTCACGTGGAAGAGGAAGAGGACGCAGTGCAAATCACTCTAGCAGAGGCCGTGGGGGTTACAACAGTGGAGGTGCTGATCAGAACAACTCTTACACTAACTTCTCTGGTCAGAGAGGACGTGGCCGTGGATGGAACAGAAAATCAAATGTGGAGTGCTTCAATTGTCACAGGCGTGGTCATTACGCTAGTGAGTGCAGATCAAAAGGTGAGAATTAGGCTCCCAACTATGTCCAAGAAGTTGGTAATCACGAGCAAGTTGAAGGGGATCACGCAATATTAATGGTATCTTCGTCAAATGAAACTACAAATCACCAAACTTGGTATTTGGATACAGGCTGCACAAATCATATGTGTGGTCAGAAGGATTTGTTTGCAGACTTGGATAACTCATTTCGCACAAAGGTGAAATTTGGTGATGGACGATCAGTTCCAGTGATGGGAAAGGGACGAATTTTAATCACTTTGAAGAACGGTGACCATAGGTACATTTCAAATGTCTTTTATGTCCCTGATATGAAGAGCAATCTGCTGAGTATGGGTCAACTGGCTGAGAAGAGATACGTGATGCACATTGCTGGAAATCAACTCTCTATTTTCGATAAACAAGGTAATTTAATTCTCAAAACCTTTTTATCGAAAAACCGTATGTTTCTAGTGGATATAAATAGTGGTGAATTCAAGTGTTTGAGTGCTATTGTGAATGATGAGTCGTGGTTATGGCATCTCCGGTTTGGGCACTTAAATTTCCAAAGTTTGGAAACTCTTGCTAAGCATAACCTGGTGAAAGGTTTGCCCCATATTCATCATCCTGATCAATTATGCGAAGCGTGTATTCTTGGAAAGAATCATCGGTTGCCATTTGTCAGAGAGTCCTGGCGTGCTGAATTCCCATTAGAGCTTATTCACACTGACGTTTGTGGTCCGATGAATATCTTGTCAATTGGAGGTAACAAATATTTCCTAACATTTATTGATGATTTTTAAAGAAAAACATGGATATATTTGTTGAAGAGCAAGGATGAGGTGTTTGATTGCTTTAAGAAATTTAAAGCATTTGTTGAGAGGCAAAGTGGAAAATTGATCAAGATGATGCGTAGTGATGGTGGAGGTGAGTACAAGTCTGATGAGTTCAAGAAACACTGTGATGAACTTGGCTTGCAACATAATATAACTTTTCCATACACCCCTCAACACAACGGGGTTGCCGAAAGAAAGAATAGAACCATTCTTGACATGGCAAGGAGTATGCTCAAGGCAAAAGGTATGCCTAATTACTTTTGGGCTGAAGCAGTTACCTGTGCAGTATACTTGTTGAACAGATCACCTACTAGGAGTGTCTCAAATTTAACTCCTATTGAAGCTTGGAGTGGTTACAAACCCAATGTGCAGCACTTGAAGGTCTTTGGGTCAATTGCATATGCCCACGTTCCAACCGCGACAAGAACAAAGTTGGATGACAGAGCGGTGAAGTCTATTTTTATTGGATATAAGCAAGGCGGATACAAATTATACAACCCGGTTACAAAGAAGGTGATTGTTAGCCGTGATGTCACATTTGCAGAAGATGAGACATGGCAGTGGAATATAACAGGTGACATGAATTCCAAAACCTGTTATATTCACGTTTTGAATGAGGATGCAGAAGATGGAATTGATCTTGAAACACCTTCACTTCAGCCTCAAGTTGTAGCACCTATTGCAGCTACTATGGAAAGACCGAGATGGGAGCACCGACAACCTGCACGTCTTCTAGATTACGAGGTAAATCTCGATGATGATGTTGGTAATGATGGAGAATTAGTGCACCTTGCCTTTCTTGCGGATTCAGAACCTGTGGGTCTTGAAGAAGCCATTCAAAATCCTAAATGGCAAGAGGCTATGAATGAAGAACTGATGGCGATTGAGAAAAACAACACATGGAAGCTTACTGACCTTCCTAAAGGTCACAAAGCCATTGATGTTAAATGGGTTTACAAGATCAAGGTGAAGGCAAACGGTGAGATTGACAAATATAAAGCAAGGTTGGTAGCGAAGGGATTTGAACAAAGAGAAAATCTTGACTATGAAGAAATCTTTTCTCCTGTAGCCCGAACAAAAGCAATGGAAAATTCACCAAATGGATGTCAAGTCGGCCTTTCTCAATGGTCCACTTGAAGAAGAAGTGTACGTGAAGCAGCCTCCAGGTTTCATACAATCTGGCAAAGAGGGGAAGGTGTACAGACTTTATAAGGCTTTGTATGGTATTAAGCAAGCTCCAAGAGCATGGAACAAGATAATTGATTCATTCCTATATGATGTGGGATTTGAGAAGTGTCCCTCTGATCATGGCCTTTATGTGAAGGCTAATGGATCTGGAGACTTACTAATCTTATGTCTCTATGTTGATGATGTGATTTTTACAGGGAATAATCTCGTGATGATTAATGATTTCAAACAAACTCTGATGAAGGAGTTCGAAATGACTGATCTTGGTCTCATGTCTTATTTTCTGGGTATTGAGGTTATTCAGAGACATGATGGGATCTTTATTAATCAAAAGAAATATGTTGCTGAATTTCTGAAGAAATATAAGATGGAGGAGTCAAATCCAGTTAGAACTCCCATTGAGACTCGCTTGAAACTCACGAAAGATGGCGACGAACGAACTGTTGATCCAACATATTTCAAGCAAATTGTTGGAAGCTTATGATATCTCACATGCACTAGACCAGATATTTGCTATGTTGTGGGATTAGTCAGCCGGTACATGGAGTCACCTCGACAAAATCATTTGCAAGCGGTGAAAAGGATTTTGTGTTACATTCAAGGTACTCAAGACCTTGGTTTATTTTACTCTTAGTCTAAAGAGTGTGAAATTGTTGGATACTCTGATAGTGATTGGGGTGGAGATTTGGACGAAAGGAAGAGCACGAGTGGTAATTGTTTTCTGTTTGGGAGTACTGTTTGCTCGTGGTCATCGAAAAAACAGCCTATTGTCGCGTTAACCACGTGTGAAGCAGAGTATGTAGCAGCGGCATCAAGTGCATGTCAAGCAATTTGGCTTAGAAATATTATGAAGCAAATTGGTTTTGACATTGCTGGGCCAATCACAATTAAAGTTGATAATGTTTCTGCAATTAACCTAGCTAAGAATCCGGTTTTTCATGGAAGAAACAAGCATATTGATATTCGTTATCACTTCTTGAGAAACCAAGTTGGGAAGAATAAAATCAAGTTGGAATATTGCAGGTCTGAAGAGCAAATTGCAGACATCCTCACCAAGCCATTGAATATTGATACATTCATTAGGTTGAGGGTGTGAAGATCCTACCTGATCAGAATTAAGGGGGAATGTTGAATAAACTAGTTATTTTAATTAATTCTGATGATTTGAATTAGTATTTATTAGTCTTTATTTGAATAAGTCTTTTTTTGAATTGGTCTTTATTTGAATTAGTATTTAATTTAGTCTTCAACAATCTCCTACTTTTTAGGTCTGTTGGGGATTAGTGGTATTGTGGTGTTCATGATCCTATTATCTAGGAGATTTTAGACTATATATTCAGCTTGATGTTTACTGATTTCGTATCAAGAAAATATGAAGCAATAAAAGTTCACCTCTTCCAGTAAAAGACTCCATTGCCTCAATATTATTCAGTATTCAGTCATATTTTATTTCTCCTAAGTTTCAGTTCTTCAGGGGGGTTCGATTACGCGGAACTGGCTAGACAGAAGGGGTGTTGCCGAGCGAGTATATAAGCCCACTGTAGTGTCACGTACGCCGGCTGGCGTGGGGGTGAGGATTTTTTATTTTAACACACATCCCATTCCATCTTCATTTCACAACCTCAAACCAACATAAAACAAAAATCTTGAAAAATGGATCCCCACGAACCCATTAACTTGTGAATACGCTAATGGCGATGTATTATTGCCTCTGTTAATACAAGCATTGTTGTTGCGTGTTTTATTACATTTTTATAAGTTTTAAGTAAAAATAATGAATAGTGTAAATCAAATGGAGAGGCGGGACTAAAGGAGGATATCGTTGCAAATGTTTTGGCCTAACGCAGAAAAAGAGTGAAATAATGACGCGACACTAGAGAGAAATGAGGAGAGGCATGGGGAGAGTGCCCCCATTGTAACTGCTCTTAGAGCATAAGCTATCACAAGTTTGAAACCAATCAAAATTAACTTTGGAGTTCCATGGCTTACAATAGCAAGGCATGGTTGAAGTGCATGCACTACTACAAAAACGTACATAGAGACTGGTCCAATTGCATTGTTTCTTGAAAAACATATGCAAAAGGCTAAAATTCGCGTATCGATTAGACCTTTTGCATCGGTTATTTAAAAAACCGATGCAAAAGGTCATTAACCTTTTTTTATTTTTTTGGAAGGACCTTTTGCATCGGTTCTTTAAAATAACCGATTCATAAGCTCCTTGAATTTTTTTAATCTTTTTTTTGGAAGGACCTTTTGCATAAGTTGTTTCAAAACAACCGATGCAAAAGGTCATGAAAGACCTTTTGCATCGGTTCTTTAAAATAACCGATTCAAAAGCTCCAGGTCTTTGAGAATGACCTTTTGCATTGGTTGTTTCAAAACAACCGATGCAAAAGACCTAGCAAAATTTTTGATATCCAACTCATTGATCCACATAGGTGACCCGACGATCCGGTCCATCTCACTGATCCGCGATCCGTGCAACATCTATAACAAATATTGGATCTATTTATTCTATTTCTTTCTTCATTTTCGCATCTTCTCATCTCACCCCTATTCTTCGATCTTCATTAGTCCTTTTAATCAGCCCTTCTTCTTTGTCTTCATTGATTAGCCCCCACTGCACCATACCTCACATATTCTTCATCGTCAGCCACCACCGCTTCTTGGTTGCCGCCGATAAGCTAGACGAATGTGACATGCAAGTCGCCGCCAAAGCAATGAAATAGCATCACCGCAGAATTGGAGTAAGAAAAGAAACTGCATCCATCGGGTTGTTTTTATTTTTGAGGGATGTTGTAGATCTTGTTATTATTGCTATTTAGCTTGTTGATGTTGCCATTGTTCCGTGAGCTTATTAAAGATCTTGTTGTTTAGCTTATTAAAGATCTTTTTTTGTTCGTTGTATTTGCTCAACAAGAAAAATTACAAAGAAAATCTTGTTTAAAGATCTTGTTCATTGTATTAAAGAACTTTTTGAGATGATTACAAGAAAAATTCGAAGAAGATAGGTAATCCGAGGTTGTGGCTGTGAACTCCATCGTAATTTTTTTTAAATTTTTTTAATCAATTGCATCGGTTGTTTCTAAATAAACGATGCAAAAGCCTTTTTATTTATAAATTTTAAGAAAATAAAATAGTTTTTGCATCGGTTGTTTTGAAATAACCAATGCAAATGCTCTAATCAATTACATCGGTTGTTTTTAAATAACAATTGCAAAAGCCTTTTTATTTATAAATTTTAAAAAATTAAATAGCTTTTGTATCGGTTGTTTTGAAATAACCGATAAATAAAACACTTTTGAATAAGTTATTTGGAAATAACCGATGCAAAAGCTATTTAATTTTTTTTAAAATTTATAAATAAAAAGGCTTTTGCTTCGGTTATTTAGAAACAACCGATGCAAAAAGTTTTACCATAGCGCGAAATCTGAGTGCATAAAAGGTCTTTTGCATCGGTTTAATAACTGATGCAAAAAGTATTTGCACTAATTGCATCGCTGCCTTTTGCATCGGTAAGGAACCGATTCAAAAAGTAAAAAATAACCGATTCAAAAAGTCTTTTTTGTAGTAGTGATGGTTGTGATGTGGGCGTAGAGCAGGCGGAGAAGGTGAAATTGAGATGGCAACTGGGTTGCGATTTTCACAATCAAGTGACCAACGGTCTACTATTTCGTGGTGTTGCTAGAGATTTTGGTTGTGACCCAAGAAAATTTTTAATAATATTCAAAAATTCCACCCAACGCAATTTTAACGAGTATAGCCGGCAAAAAATCTTGTTTTATCACTATTTTTCATTTTCAGTCATTTATCAAATTTTTCTCTCAATCTCAAGACAATGAAACAATATAAACTCTAATTAAAACAAAATTTCAATTTTAAAAATTTAACAAACTTGATCATTTATATTTGTCTTAAAGATTTGATCAATAGAAAATTATAGATCTAAGAATTTGATCAATAATATTTGTATTAAACATTTGATCAACAACCCTGTCATTGTTATCTCCTAGGGTTTTCTTTCCTAGGGTTCTCTCTCTCGGCTGTGAGTGTTTTAGCCGGCACTTCAACGCCGATCGATTGAGCTTTTCCATCCGATCAAGTTTGATGGAATCTATGACACACACATACAGGGATGGCCTTCCAATTGAAGAACTTCTTAGGCTCAATATGGAGGAATCAGAGGGGCAATTGAATTTTACAGAAGATCTCGAGGAACCAGAGGCCAATGCTACAGGGAGCGATCAATTCTGCCTGGTAGGGAGACTCCTTACAGACAAACAATTCAACGGACGTATATTCAGGGAGATGGTGGCCCAGGTATGGCGACCAGTAATGGGGGTCGCTGTGAGGGAATTGGGAAATAATGTATTTATGTTTAAGTTCTTTCACAAACGGGATCAGGATAGGGTGCTAGAAGCAGGCCCATGGAATTTTTCTCAAAATATTCTGATCTTGAGGAAGTTAGAAATTGGGGAAAATCCAAGACAGGTCGAACTAACGAAGGTGGATATATGGATGCGTATTTATGATATGGGAGCAGGGTTACGTTCGGAACGAGTTCTACGGGATGTGGGGAATGCCATTGGTGAATTCGTGCAAGGAGACCCAAATAATTTTACCAGCGCCTGGCGTGACTATATGCGTATCCGGATCCGGATGGATGTTAGGAAGCCCCTCAAACGCCTTATGAAAATAAAGCTGCCACGAGAAGGGGAGCATACGATTACCTTCAAATATGAGAGACTGGGGGTGTTCTGTTACTTTTGTGGGGTTTTGGGACACACGGATAAATTCTGCGATAAGGCATACAACTTGCCAGAGGTCACACGAGAGCAGCTACTGTTTGGGCCATGGTTGAAGGCAGAGCATCGACCTGTGACTACCAATGCGGCTAGGTGGCTTCGGACGGAGGAGGGACATTTTTTTGGCAAGGAGCCTATGCCAGCTGGTGTGAGGTATAACAACGAGTCTTGCAGCAGCAGTTATGAGGGAGAGGGGCATACCTTCAGTGCGCAAGGGGAGGAGATTGGGAAATCAATCAATGAGGAGGAGAGGGGGGCAGATCATGGAGATATGCAGATGACCCTTTCTGATTCTAAGAAACGAAGGCTGCAAGCAGGCAGGATTAATGTGGTAAATGAAGCGGACAATTCAAAAAATGTATTTGGGGCGGGTTCTGGTTGCCAGACCCGCCACGCATCATGAGCACCTTGGTTTGGAATTGTCGTGGGCTTGGGAACCCACAGACAATTTCAGAATTAAAAGACATGATTATGTCTAAGCAGCCCAAAATTGTTTTCTTGCAAGAGACTAAGGTGGATAGGGGGGTGATGGAGCAGGTGAAAAATCAAGTGGGTTTTGAGGAGATGTGTGTGGTGGATGCAGCAGGGTTTAGCAGAGGCCTTGCGATGCTTTGGAAAAAGGAAGGTATGTGCTCAATTTTGAGTACTCATCGACATTTTATCGACATCAGAGTTACCCTTCCCGGGATTACTCCGTATCGGTTCACGGGCTTCTATGGTTTCCCGTCTTCAAGTCAGCGGCGTGCCTCGTGGGAGCTCGTGAAGTCCTTGAGGGACCTCTCGCCACTGCCGTGGTGTGTGGCAGGGGACTTCAATGATATTCTTTCATATGGTGATAAAATGGGCAGAATCCAGCAACCTCAATGGCAGATTGATGGGTTTCGAGAAGTAGTTATCTATTGTAGTCTACATGATTTAGGCTACGTGGGGAACCACTTCACATGGGAAAGGGGTCGTGACACTCCAAACTGGGTGTGTGAACGCCTGGACAGGGGGATGGGGACAGAGTCATGGCTGCGTTTGTTTGATAAGGTGGAAGTGCTCCATATTGAAATTGTGAGCAGTGATCATTCTGCTCTTTTCCTAACACTTAGATCGATGACCATCTCATATGCACCGAAACCATTTCGTTTCGAAAATGCTTGGCTTAAGGAGATTGATGTCAAGGAGGCAGTGACTATGGAGTGGGAGATCGGAATGGGATGTCCTATTTCAGACAGGATCTTGAGATGTGGGGAGTATTTACAGCAATGGGGGAGGCAAAAACATGCGGTGTTTAGAGACAAACTTCGAAAAAGTAAGCAGCAAATGGCAAAGTATCGAAATAGTCATGATGCCGAGCATCGATACCTGTATCGGTGTGCCCAGGAGGCATACAAGCAAGTGTTGGAACAGCAAGATTTGTATTGGAAACAAAGAGCGAAGCAGTACTGGCTAAAGTATGGAGATCTCAATACTCGATACTTTCACCTCTCTGCCTCTAGTCGACGGAAAAAGAATAGTATTGAACAACTCCAGGATGAGCATGGGAACTGGAGAACAACTAAGGATGGACTTTACCCTCTTATATTGCAGTACTTCTCAGTGCTATTCCAATCTAGTCAAGAAGATATGACAAACATTTTAGAAGCTGTTGAGCGGCGGGTTACGGATCCCCAAAATGTGATACTTCGGAGAGAGGTGACCAAGGAGGAGGTGCGCACAGCGGTGTTCAGCATGCATCCGGATAAAGCTCCCGGGCCAGATGGTTTAAACCCAGGTTTTTTCCAAGCCTTTTGGAGTATTGTTGGGGATGATATTGCGCAAGCTGTGCTAGAGTGTTTAAACAAGGGAAAACCAGCACCGGGAGGAAATGAAACAAATATTGTTTTGATACCAAAGAAGAAGAACCCGGAGACCATGGGTGATGTGCGGCCAATCTCCCTTTGTAATGTTATCGATCGGATTACGCGTAAAGTATTGGCAAATAGGATGCGGACCTGTTTAGACTCTATTATCTCTCAGGAGCAAAGTGCGTTCATCCCAAAAAGACTTATTACGGATAATGCCATGATTGCATTTGAAGTAATGCACTATCTTAAACGGAAGACACAAGGAAAGGTGGGGTACGCAGCGTTGAAAACTGATATGAGTAAAACGTATGATCGAGTTGAGTGGGGGTTCCTTGAGGCAATGCTATTAAAGCTTGGCTTTGATGAGATGTGGGTGACAAAAATCATGAGAATGGTGACCACGGTGCGGTACAAAATTGATCATGGAGGTAGATGCATTGGTTCAGTAACTCCGGAACGGGGCTTACGATAGGGCGACCCAATATCACCATATCTTTTTCTAGTGGTGGCGGAAGGGCTTTTGGCTCGGTTACAACAATGTATGCAAAGGGGATTGATACATGGAATTAGAATTACACCAAAAGCTCCACCAGTTTCACACCTATACTTTGCTGATGACGCCTTGTATTTTTTCAGGGCGGTGGAGGAGGAAGCTCGGGTTATTCGGGACTGCCTAGTAGAGTATGAACGAGCATCTGGGCAGCTTGTTAATGTCCAAAAGTCAGAGGTCAGTTTTAGCCGTAATACTACTGATGGTATGAAGCAGCGAGTGGCCAATGTTTTGCAGGTCCATGCAGTTGAAACCCGAAGCAAGTATTTGAGGCTACCAGTGACCATCGGGCGTAGTAAGAAAGAAATCTTTAAAGATGTCCAAGATAAAGTGTGGAGAAAAATTGAAAGTTGGAAACACAAGACGTTGTCTAGGGCGGGGAAAGAGGTGCTTATTAAGGCAGTTATTCAGGAAACCCCGAGTTATATTATGACAATGTTCTATCTCCCAATCTCTTTGTGTGATAGTATTGAGAAAGCGGTGAATCGTTTTTGGTGGAGCTCAGGTAGAGGGGAAAACCGTGGAATAATTTGGATGGCATGGCGACGCCTGGGCAGATTGAAGGAGAATGGGGGGCTCGGATTTCGCCAATTGAACCTCTTTAATAAGGCATTACTGGCAAAAACAGGATGGAACCTTATTGTTCGGCCTGGGTCTCTTGTCCATCAGATTTATAAAGCCCGGTACTTCCCAAATAATGACTTCTTCCATGCGCCAAAGGGTAATAATCCAAGTGCTGTATGGCGAGCTTTGTTGGAAGGTCGGGAGGTTTTAAAAAACAGTGCAGGCGGTGTATCGGAGATGGGAGGGAGACGACGGTTTTGAACAGTCCCTGGTTGCTTAGAGACGAAGATCCATATATTCGCACTCCGCTCCCAAGTGAATGGGTAGACATGAAGGTGGCTGATCTGGTCATCCTGGGAACTAAATCATGGAATAGGGATCTGATTCATGCTATTTTTTTGCCAGAGGATAGTCAGGCTATCTGTAACATCCCGCTCTGCCAGTCTATCAAGACGGATCGGTGGATGTGGACCGGGGATCGGAATAGGCGCTACACGGTGAAGCAAGGATACCGGGTAGCTCATAATGACCAAGCGGTGGGAGGGAATCTTGACAAAGCAGTGTGGCAGGGCCTCTTCAGACTAAATGTTCCACCAAAAGTTAGGAATTTTATATGGAGAGGTATGCATGAGGTACTTCTAGTTCGGGCAAATTTGGTGCGTAAAGGGGTTTCTATTACTACAGCATGTCCGAGGTGTTTGAGCATCGAGGAAACGACGCTGCATGGGCTGGTGTTATGTCCGTTTGCAGTTCGATGCTTAAGGGAAGTGGGCGGCGAGCGCGGCAATGTGGAACCATCATTTGCACTGTGGTTCGCAGCTTTATGGAAGGAAAGCTCACGAGAGTTTGTTGCATGTGTGGCAATCATCCTTTGGGAGATTTGGACTCAACGTAACCAATTGGTGTGGAATAACAAATATATGCAACCGAAGACCCTAGTCGCTCGGGCACTACAGTGGTACCAGTCATGGCAGCAAGCGAAGCAAGAAGATCTCGAGGTGGCAAGGACGCGAAACACATTCCACAACCAATGGGAGCCTCCGGTTCATGGGGCTCTAAAGTGCAATGTCGATGCTAATTTTAACCCCAACACACATTTGGCGAGAGTGGGCATGGTGGTGCGAGATAGCAATGGATATTTTGTGAAGGGAGCCTCTCGAGGTCTAGGGCAGGTGGAGGATGCGTGCATGGCAGAGGCGATCGGGGTAAGGGAAGCACTCAGTTGGCTTAAGGGCATATTTAGAGACCGAATAATCACACTGGAGATGGATAACCAGACACTTTACTTTGCTCTCCAGGAGCGGGAGGAAAATTTCTCATACTTTTCAGGTTTGGTCTTTGATTGTAAAACACTGATGTCAGAGTTTTATTCTGTCTCTTTGTCTTTTGTTCGTAGATCTGCGAATGAGGTGGCTCACTTGTTGGCTCGAGCCTCTGATTTTATGCATGATCTATTGGAGTGGGATGATACCCCTCCTACGATTATTTGTGATGTTTTGCAGAAAGAGTTGAGAATTTAATAAGAATATTCCCTTGATTTTCAATTTTTTTTTTTTAACAAACTTGAAAGTGGAGGAATGAAGAGAGATCTACTACATGATCTGTTGGTGATTTTAGTGTAATCGACTATTTTGTGTAATTGAATTTACTTAGATCAGACAAGAATTGTAATAGACGTTGTCTAATTGGATTTACACATTTTTATTTTTTAAAATAAAATAAAATAAAAATAGAAAAATATATAAAATAAAAGAAAAATAGAAAAAGGAAATGAAAAAAGGATACAAAACCGTTATTTTCCCTCCACAATTTTCATTGTTTGGTAGGAACTTTTTTTCAAAAAACAATTTTGTATTATTTCTTAAGAAGAGATTTTTTAATAATACTCCCTTCGCCTCATGAAACATTTCTCCTTTCTTTTTTTATCCGTCCCACAAAACACTTCTCATTTCTATTAAAAAGTCACTTTTACCCTTTACTTTTTCATACCCTACCTATCATATAATACCTTTTTACTAATAATCTATCCATCAAATCATACTTTTACTCATCATATTAAAGGACATTTTTGGAAATTCAATACCAAAATACACTCCCCTTAAATCCCTCCTAAAAAGCAAAAGTCTCATGTTTCATGTGACGGAGGGAGTAGTACATTGTTGATATTTGAATTAAAAGCAAAGATATTTTGTGATAATTTTATATCAAATACTTTATTCTTTATATACGATCGGTACTAGATCTCTATTATAAAGTCCATTCTTTAGAGTTTGGGGAAGAGGTGGGGGACTACGGGGTTCATTGCTTTGTATTTGAGATTAGACAATTCGAGGAGTGAGTAAAGAAAAGAGTTTAGTGCACCGTTTACCCCTGAATTCTTTGAAAATTGCATGGTTTACCTCCGAACATTAAAAAGTGCACCAAATACCCCTGAATTCTTCAGAAATTGCACGGTTTACCCCTGAACAATAAAAATTGCACCAAATACCCCTGAACTCTTTGAAAATTGTAAGGTTTACTCCTGAACATTTAAATAAAGATGACAATTTTGGGTAAAGATATTTTGGAAAATTCACAAGGGTCAGATGAATGATATTCACAATTCTTGTGCGTGGAAGCAACGCCCTCTCTATTTAATAGTTTACGACCAACGATGCAACGTTTTAATTTGTTCAAGGGCATTTGGTGCATTTTTAGTCTGCAGGGGTAAATCGTGCAATTTTCGAAGAGTTCAAGGGTAATCGATGCTCTTTTTAAAGTTCAGGGGTAAAACATGCAATTTCTAAAGAGTACGGGGGTAAACTGTGCACTTAACTCGTAAAGAAAAGGATGTTCTGTCCAAAGCAAACCAAACTTATTTTTCCATTTCGGAGAGATAATAGTTTTCCCAAAAATGATTTCATACAACTTATGTAACCAAACATAAGAATTGTGACTTGGAATTTTTGGAAAAATATTTTTCTTCCAACCAACAGATTTTAAGAGTTAAAGTTCAAAATAACAAAGCTTAGAAAAATTTAAGATAAACTACAGGAAAAAAATCGTTTAACCGAAATGCATCGCACGTGTTAAAACATTATATCCTTATCCTTAATCCTTAATACATAAAAAGCACACTCTGAGTTGCAAGAACACGACATTTGACGGGCCAGGGGTGTGACATGTGACGGAGCTGTAGTGTCACTTTTTGACAAGTAATATGTGATGTGGCACGAGAGAAATAAAAAAAATTGCGGCATGTCAAAAAAATTAAAGTAAAATATATGGATTCCAAAAGAATTGAATACTTATTTCCTTTTTTTTAATTCTTCCTTTTTCAATTGTTTTCTTCCATTCCTTTTATTCATTTTTCTAAAAAAATATTTACTTTTTCAAAAACTTATTAATTACTCAAATTTCAATTAATCTTAAAAATTACACATGAATTTTTGTGTTTCAATATTTTTTAGTAAAATAATATAGTGATATCAATTATATATTCAATCATACTATACAAAATATTATGGGATCCCTTGAATTGAACTCGGGTCATCCCTCTTGGGACTCGTTACCTTTGCTAACTGCACAATGTCCACCGGCCAATTTCTAACTATACAAAATATTACGGGATCCATATTACTTGTATTTCTTTTTTAAATTGAAAATAAACAACCTTCAGCCTCGAATTAGTCCTTTGGTTTGATTTTACAGAGTTCAAGAAAGTTGTTGAAATGTAAAAAATTGAGTGTTTTCAATTTAATTTGAGGAAAGAAAAATATTTTGTACAACAAAATATATTTTTTACTTTATTAGGACAGTGAAAAATAGAACAAATATGTTTATTAGACGAAATAGGAAAATAAGATGATTAATTCCAACAGATAAAATTAGTTTAAATTTATTAGCACCCGTGCCCGGCCAAAATAGTAACGATAAAATACTCTGTTACAAAACAAAGTGTTTTGTTTTCACTTTTCATTTGACTTTTAGAACGTTTAGGGAATCGTATTATTGTGCCTTTTTGTGTTAATCCAAAATTATGTGATCTACATGTAATCTTCTCCGTTGAATTTCTCTTATGCATCACGGAGAATTAGATAAAATTAAACACGGTAACATTACTCTTCAGTCTTCAAATAAACTTATCATTTGACTTCACGAAAATTGAAAAAAAGTACAGTATTAAAGTTGGTGAGAAGTAATGAGTCTCCAATTCAAAGTTATTCCTTCCACCCCTTTTAACGCTCAGGGGCGTTAAAGACCGCTCTCCTGGGGCTTCACCGGGGCGTCGCTGCATCAACGTCATACGTTTGACGCAGCCTCCCCCACCTATAACGGCTAATTTAGCCGTAAAAAGTAAACAAAAAAATGTAATTTTTTTACCTTAGTTTTTTAAGTAATGTATTTTTTTACCTTAGTTTTTTTATTAATGGAAGACCTAAAGAGATTAAGGCCAAATATAATTTACCTTAGTTTTTTTTATTAATGCATTTTTTTATTGTTGTCGCTTTCTTTTTTTTAATTTAATGAATGTAATTTTTTAAAATTATTTTCGCTTCAATTTCTTTTAATTTTATGAATGTAATTCTTTTAATTATTCTTGTTTCAATATAATTAAATAATAAAATAATTAAATTTTATTAATTTAGTTTTAGAAGATGTATATTTAAAAATGTAAAAATGAAGGTTTGAAACCCCATGTTTGAAGCCCCGGGGCTTCAAACCTATTTCCACTGAATCTGTGAGGTAAGTTAAAACTGACGTGGCAGAGAGAAAAATTTTGAAGCCCCGGGGCTTCACGTTTATTTCCAGTGCTCTAAAACTAATTTCCTCTTGTATTTTACGATATTTGACTCAATTCAATTTATTTGAAAATGGGTGTGAAATTCAAAATAAAATTTATACATTTTAAAAAAACATATCTAATATCTACGAAAGTAGAAGTGACATGATTATTTTTTATCAAATAAATATTAACGAAAATAGACTAACAATGTAAGTAAATAAAGTTTGATCCAATAAATAGAGAACGAGAAGACAACTAAGATAGGATAATCCTATTTGTACCCCAAGAATTTGTACCTCATTTTTTACACCGCAAAGATGCACCACCATTTTGTGTTAGTGTCATGCTAATTTTAGTTAACGCACCAACACTTTATGTCAGTGTAAATTTTTGTTAACGCACCAACACTTTGTATCAGTGTAAACCATCAAAATGTTGGTGCATACATACCTTTGGTGTACAAATGAGGTACAAATCTTGGGGTACATGTAGCATGTAGGGGTGGGTTCGGTTTTCACCCAAAACCAGAGACAAAACGGAAGTTAAATTGGCGGTTCGGTTCGGTTCGGTTCGGTTTTGCATAAAAAATATGTAAACCGTTGGTTATTCGGTTCGGTTTTATACGGTTTTTATTTCGGTTTTTTTCGGTTTTTTCGGTTTATAAAAGTAAAAATTTATAAGCATTAAAAATTGTAAAAACACTAACTCGATTAAACAATAACAATATGTAGTGTTAGCTTTGGTGTTTTGTTTGATTTTTACACAAAAACAAAAACCAAACGGAAGGTTATTGTTCCTTTCGGTTCAATTTTACATAAAAAATATGTGTTGAGTGCCCAACAAACATTTAGAAGATTCCAAATACTTCCAAAGAAATCGTATGTAAAATCAATTACGAAGAATTTAGGTTTTTTGGTATAATACTTTCATTTTCATTATAACATCAAAGTATTTGTTATGTAAATATGTAAATTACTCGTGTCAATTTTTAATGTTAATATAATTCTATATTAAGATTAGCTATTGGTGTTTATATTCTTAGGTTTTTTCAATGTTTATAATAATATGGCTAGAATTTTTAATAAATAGTTTAGAAAATAATTTTAATCGACTAGTAATTTATTTGCGTTTATATTTCTATAATTTTTTTACATATCACATGTATTCATATAAATAAAGCGAAGTATCTAAGAAAGTTCGGTTTATTCGGTTTGGTTTTTAAAAGTGAAAACCAAAACGGAACCAAACACTAACGGTTCAGTTCGGTTTTTTTACATTCGGTTTCGGTTTTTTCGGTTCGGTTTTTTTTCTAGCTCGTTTCGATCGATTTCGGTTCGGTTTGCGGTTTTCGGTTTTCCCAACCCAGTGCTACTAGCATGCTCCATTTAGATATTCACATATTTATTTTTGAAAAGAGAAACGATATCCCCATATTTATACCTTAAAAGAAAAAGTGGAGGAACCAACGCTAATTTATTTTAAAAAGTTTTTAAACGTGCAGAGATAGGGAAAATGAAAGTTTATTTGAAGAACGAGGGAGTAAAAGGAACAAGTAACATTTAAGCCTCGTTTGGCATTAGTATTATATTACAAATTAGCGTTAGCATTTAGTCTACATCCATCGTTAATATTTTATCCAAAATGCCAACGCTAATTGAAAACGCTCTTCCCAAACAAGGCCTTAATCTTTTATCTTATATATATACGTCATACTTTGAGACAGATTGATCCACCGATGTTTTGAGCAGATTAATCCAACGACACAAGCTGGAAATACGTCATACTTTGAGACAAGCTAATCGAGTTGCTGACCTCTTGGCAAAGGAAGATAGAATTAAAGACATTGTTTTTATTGAATACAAATATGTTTCTAGTCTCCCTATTAATGTAAGATCTGCGCTTGCGCATGACTTTGTACCCTCCT